ATAAACGATGAACGAAAACAAATGATATTTGCTACCTAATCTATGGTGTTTGTTCGTACATATACAATTTTATGTATACCATAGCACATATTCACTTGCAAACACAAGATTGTGTACAGTTATGCTTTAGAAGACTTTGATACAGAAGAATTTTTGCCCACACCGATAAAGAGACCGAAAGAGAAACCAGCTCTACTACCAAAAGTCCCTGAGAGATTTACTATATCGTATTTTGAAACATTTCTTAGTGCCTCCTGTTGCTTGTTCTCTGTAGTGACACCTACAAGCATAGAAACTTTTTGCTCTCTACTTAACGGTAAATCAAATAAATAATCATTTACAACCTGTAGCCATGTACTCGAGCACATGTCGAAGGATAGTAAAGGGTAAAAAATTTGGGACCATATATCTTCTTTCTAATTCTCCATTACATAAATGAAACGCTTACGACGCGTCCCGTATTTTAGGATTATAATACTTTAACAGTGCAACCTCAAGATCCGAGATTATGTAGCTACTTAAACAATATGGAGCTGCACTCTTGAATAAAAAGGTATAAATAATATCAATGGAAGGACGGACGGATATCCCTATGTTGGTCAAGAATTATGTACCTTATATGGCATCTGCTGTAGCAAAGCTCCTGGCGTTAGATAGTTGTTATTATATAATTACGAAAAGCTTTCCGTTAACAATGGCAGAGAATAGGTTCTTTTTCAATTCTTTTCTCTACTATCTCAAATGTCGCTTAATTTATTTTGCATTAGCTCTTATGAGAATTGCTACGTTTAACACATTTCTTTGGCTCTATCGTGCTTAGAGTAAACCAACCTTACGATACAACAAGATCAGGAAATAATACTTTATGTGGTGTAGATATTTACAGCAAAAAAAAACATATGCTTAAGCATTGTTTACACCTTTCACATCATCATAAATCATTTTAGCTCTAAATTTTACATTTCATATTTGGAAAACAAATTGTTCGTTAATTAATTTGATGATCAATAAAACTAATCATACTCAATGCAACAAATGTCGTCGTGTGCGAAATAGCGAACGCACTGGCCAAGTCTGGCGGTTAAAGGAAGAAAATATTTGGCACTGAAATTGGAAGGCGGCCGACGAGAATTGAGAAGTCCGCTCAGTGCAGACGATTGTCAATGTCGCCAACGTTAATTAGAAAATTGGCAATTGCGACGACTGCGCGTCCTTTTTGGTTAGACTACCTATCTCTAAAACTTAAGGCACTCCAGGAAATCAGAAAAGAATTCTTATTATGGAAAACACATCTTTCAAAAATGAAAGACGTGGTGTATTCCACATTTAATGGATAATCCAATAGTTAACTGCAAATTTCTTTACAATTGAGCGAGACAGAATACTTTTGCACTTGTAATTGTAAACCAATTTCGGCTCGCATGAGAATAAGCAAATGAGCGAGCCAGAATACTTTTGCATTTGTAATTGCAAACGAAAAGAAAGAAAAAAAAGCTTGGGATTCTGAAGTGAGGACTCAGTACGAAGAAAAAAAAAGCTTCCTTAAGAAATTATTTGATGCATTTATTAAATGAAGAAGTCTTTAGAAATAGCCAATGTGCGACCTATTCCGTAAATACAAAACTAATTTTTTTAAGCAGTTTACGGATTGCACTTATTTTTGACCCGCATTTTTGAATTACTCTCAGATGTGACCAAATTCATAGTGCAACAGGTGGTTTTTAATAAATACAGACTAATGTTTTCAATTACTCTCAATTGTAAACAAATTCGGACGTTTACCCTCAGATGTTACCGAATTATTTTTGAATTACTCTCGGACGTGACCAAATTCATAGTCGTTTTTTCAATGTAACAGGCGGTTGTTAACAAATACAGACTAACTCCGTACCTAGAGGCAAATGGATAGACAGACAGAATTATGATAATGACAGACAGACATTTGATAACTGGAAAACTATGCAAAATATTTATTTACGATTAACGAGAAGAAAGACTTGATCCGATAAAGATTAAGTTTGATGTTTAGCACAAAAAGCTCAATTGTTTTTCTTTCTTATTTGTAAAAAAGTTTTTATTATATCTACGCATTCATTAATTAAGAATTTTCATTTTGCTTTAAATGGGGTTCTGTATGCCTGTGCCATTGATGTACTTACTTAAAAAGCTAGTCTGTATTTGTTGACCACTTGTTGAATTGAAAAAGCGTCTATGATGGATAAGAAAGCTCTTTTGAACTTTTATTCATTTATTTGTGTGCATATATATATGTGTACTTTTTTTTTGGGTAGTGAAGAAAGGTTCGCGTTCTGTGCGGAAAAGAAATGGGTATTTTGGTCATGTATTCGTTGAATATTTGTTTGAGAATTTGTTTGAAACATAGCTAACGTTATACATAACGAGTGAGTGCCCAGTTTACGAGCTGAGTATGTATTCGACTCGGACAGTGACTGCCGGCGCATCATTTCATTTTTCTAGGTACTTCACGAACTACATTCTCTACTCACGTAGGATTTGGTACTTTCTTCGTACATGCCGAAAATGGTTCAAAAAAATTCAAAGATACGATTTCGCCCTTTCTAATAAGCCGCACGCGTTTGACGACAATCTTTAATCGAGGGCGACACTGTCGAGATCATTTTAAAATAAACTCGTATTATTTTTCAAATCTTTCGGAAATTGTGACTTGGTTCAGATCGCCAAAATAGGATTTTTTTTATTCTAAAAACGGATGGAACTTCCTGGAAGAGCTACTGTATTCCTAAATAGTTTTTAAGCATAAATTTTAACGGGTTATCATTTGTTAATCCACTCTTAAATGCAGACGCGACGACTCATCGCCCACTTCTCGACGTTCTATATTTAGCTTCGCACATAAGCAGAATACAATCACAACAATCTCTGTTAAAAATAATCAGCCAAAGCGACAATCTATCAGTTGTTTTTACGTCGTTCGCTATTTGTACGGTGCTAGTACAAAAATTATCTATCGTCGACATAAACGCAAATTTTAAAATAATTGATTATAAAGATAACAACTTTAGTCATGAAAAAAAAGGTTGATCTTTTTATTCCGTGTACCCAGAAAAGACTGACAATAATTCCAATAATGTTACGTAATCACAAATGTCTGCTTGCATTAATCCAAATGTCTAAAAGAAATGTTTTAGTGGGCGAAACTATTAGGTCAAGTCATGAATGATTTTCGATGCAGCTACGTAGAACCTATTATTTGTATTTATCCACTATAAGTCACTGAAACAAACCAGTTTTTTTTTTTACCATATAGATAAGGTTTCGGTTTGTCTTATGTCAAGTGTGTTATGTGGTACGTGTTACATTCAACTGTTTTTTTAACCTCTGAAATGGAATAAATTTCTTTATATGTATTGTGCCGCTTTAGAGAATAAGCTCATATTCGTTCTCAATCATTCAACAGGTCTTTGTAAAAAAGCCATCGATGCGAGATTAAGCGTATATATTCTCAATAATTTCCGTATACAAATTCCACCCATCTGAGAAAATACAAATTCCATACAATTGAGAATGGAGAGTCGAAAAGTACATATGCTTTGGAAATTTAAACAAGGCAATGGAGTTAAGGCGACAGCTGAAAGAACATGCAGCGTTTGCCGTGAAGGACATGATAAGTGATAACTGAGAATTAGAAATTGGTTTGTAAAATTTCGTTCTGGAGATACGACCTTAAAAGACGAGACGTCCATCCGACTTTGACGACAATATTTTAAAGGCAATCTTGCATTTTTGTCATCACCGGCTGGCATATTTTAGTCAACTCTTCCAATTTGTAATCAAACTCTTCCTTCTCGGCAGTGGTATTGCTATCTAACCATTTGATAGTTTCCGTACATTTCTCCATTAAACGACTTTTATCTGATGAAGTTACTTTAGTGTCCAACCAAAAAGTATAGCTTGCAACCAAAAGTATAGTGTGCAACCAAAAAAAAAAAATGTTTAATGAGAGAAAGAAAAGCACACAGAAGAGAGATAGACAAGGAAAGTGAACGGGAGAGTATTAAAAATTCTAAATAAAACATACAAAGCACAGAACACAAACAATCAAATAAAGACAATTGCACAAAAATCCAATTGCAAAGTGAAAACGGAACAAGAACAAGCAACCTGCCCCAAAAAGGAACAAGCAACCTGGATTATGATTTGGATCGGTTGAACTTGTCGATACAATCAATAGTCTCTTATGGCAGATTTTCTTTACAATCTTTTGGTTTTGCGGAGTAATTCTGCAACTGGCAGCAACTCTATTAAATTGAATTAAATTATGAAATCGAGTATGTATAAAATGAGTAGTCCGTTAAACGGGAGTTAAATGTTGTAGGCTTACAAAATGCGTAGATTGCTTAGACCTCTTTCATCATTAGTATTTCCGAAAACAAAATATGCACATATCGTATTTTTGTATAAGATAAGGAAAATTTATTTGAACAGAAAATATTCCTACAAGTGTTTTTGTTCATTTTGAGAAACTTGGCGTTTGGTTTCTGGAAATGGTGAGAGACTCTACGATTGATTTTTACAAATTCTGAGAGAGAATGCTGATTGGGAAGAAATTTATCTCAGCTTTTGTTTGCTTCTATCAAAAAAAGTATGTATTTTTTCTCATACACATTCTGAGTGGTTTTTGTTTATTTTGAGAAAGCTGGCGTTTGATTTTTGGAAACTTTGGGAGACTCTATGTTTGATTTTTTGTGTACATGACACCCATTTTGAGTAATATTTACTTTTTTTGTGTGCTTATGAGATTTGTTCGGACTTCTTGAGAGAAAAATCTATTTTGCTAAGCATTTGCGTGAATACGATCTGAGAATAAGTGGTGGGAAAAACATAATACGTATGGCTAAATGAGAATAAGTGGGAGAAAAAAACAGAATTTGTTCCAGCTAACTTGTGAAAGTGTGAAGAACGTTGTTAACGATTTGCTAGGTATAACAATTGGATTTAAGCTTAAATTTAGACTTTATTTAAAAAGTAAAAAGAGTGGTGACAGTAGCGTATACATGTGTGTTTCTCTTTTTTCAAAAAGAAAGAAATAAACATAAAAAAATTGGCAAACAAAAAATGCAATTTTTATTTACTTAACATATCTGATAAACAAATAAAAATGATTAAATAAAACTAAAAAAAGGATATAAGTGTACGAGAGAAAAAATCTGGTACTTGTGCGAATCGAAAACATGAGAAAAGCCATATAAAGGTAAACGCATATTAATAATAAAAATAATTTTGTGCTTCATCCCGTAACATCTGAAAGAAAGCGTCTGAATTTCAGAGAACTTTGGATCTATGAAAAAAGAAAGTATTGAAAACGCATCATTTTCCTCAAAATAGATATCGAAAAATACGTTAAATGTATTCGTGAAAATTAACAAAGAAGCCCGAAAGATTAAAGTCTAACGACCGCAAAATAATCGCATGTGATAAACGTCGTTCATTATAAGTTGTTGGCGTGCTTATCATCGTCTTTATGTGCAATAGGCAGTTGAATTGGGCCCCTTTTTAATTTTTCAACATCTAACCAAAGGATGGAAGCTTTCTCAGTACGCATGGTACAGTCCAAACTATTTCTAACTAAAACAAATTAGTTACTGTCAGTAAAGTGGCGTAAGTTTAATGACCTTCGGTAGAGTTCCTGAAGGGTTCTTCTCCTGGATTTTGCCATTTTGATGGTGATAGTCAAAGAGCAAATAATTTTTTTTTTAATAAGTAAATAATTTTCATCAAAAAATTGAATCTGCCCGGATAGTACATTCATTAAAGTATAGAGATTCGTAACGTTTTTCCATACACAGAGTGCATAGCCGCAAAAACTTAATCACATCTCTATATGTGTCAAAAACATTGTTCGGAAACAGTTTACCAATCGCAGAAAATGAATTGCGTAAGAACTGGATATTGGCTTTAAAAATAGGACTTAATTTTTGCGTCAGTATCTCGGAATACGCTTTAATTTATTAATAATGAACCGTGAAAAGAACGACAATAGAGTATTACTCAAATCGTTTGAATCGATGCTGGTGTTGAAAGCAGTTCGTTGCTTTTTTCCTCTTCCTTGAGTAAAAAAAAGTATTAATTAAATTTTACAGCGGAAAATTACCAGTCTACTAATCATCATTCCATTCTTATTATTCTAAAGTAGATTGTAAGTTGAATGCGTACGTTTCCCTGTAACTAATGTGAAGAACTACTCTCTACTACTATAACAGCCTAAAAAAAGGATTACTTTTTGCAATTTTTTTAGATGGAAGAAAAAGTAGTAAAATAATAAAATATAAAACCATATTTTCTCTGAGCCTAAAACTTTTTTACAAAAGCTTTAATATGACAGTTTTATAGAACCAATAATAAATAAATCAAATAATAATATAAAAAGCAAGTTAAATTTCTAACTGATTTTTGAAGTAGAGGGAATGAAAAAAATAAACTTAAAAAAGGAAAAGCAGAGAGGTGGATTTAAGGAAAATGCTTAAGGGTTTTGATTCTCAATAAGAATACTTATTTCGAACTTAATACTAAAAAAGAATACTTATTTCGAACTAAATGTATCTTCCTATATCCAGGGAACACAAGAGGGCCTTTTGAAAAAATTCATTTTTTTGTACGAAAGAAAAATTTTTAAATGAACTTATTGAAAAAATCCTACCTGTTTCACCTTTTTTGGAATATATTGTAAAATTGGAATGAAAAAGATAAAAACTATTCGAGTGATGCTGTTTTGCGATTTCAAAACGATTGCTTCGAGATAAATGCTTTTAAAATGCACAAGTTTTTTGTTGCAACAGGTATTTTATTATTTTTTCTTTTAGCATGCGATTTCAGTCCCATTAAACTTCCAAATTTAAATGTTGCTCCTCGTCGACTTTAAGCTCAATAGTGGTTGTTTTGCCGTGCTTGCCAAAAGGGAGCAGGTTTTACATTTCACATGTTTCAATGGTGGAAAAGATGGCCACAAAATGTACCATTTAGTGAAAGAATTCATGATCAACATCAACAACTTCATCCCAAACTTTTAAATTCTTGGCAATAACATTGAAAGCCTTCAAATCACTTTCAGCTTCGTATCAACTCAACTTGAAGGTAGACTAAAACATTTTCGTTTGGAAACTGTTTTAAATTAAGTTCTTCTTCATTAAGATCTTCTGCAGAATTCTAGTTACGGTAATAGAGAAGCGCTTCCGAAAAAACACTAAATTTCAATAAACCAATATAATGCGGGTAGTTCATTTTTTCTTAGGTGTTTTAGAAAGCCCAAAGCAACGGTTAAATAAAAAAAATTGATTTCCAGAAATATTTACTGTAGTTAAGATGAACCTTTTTAAATATTATGCTTATTTCCAATAGGGTTATAAAAATATTACGGAGGGCTTCTTTAATGTTATGTATAAAAATTCGAGTGTTCGGATAAGTTTCCAGGAACTAAATATATCTTCCAGTTTTTAGCTGCCGCACCTACGGTCTTTTTGGAAGTAAGTAAGTGTGAGTCCTCAAATTATAATTTTAAATGGAGTTGTATTTTTAAGCACACAATTAATCATACAAACATATAACGTAATGATCAGCACGATCATTACGTGCTATAATTTGGTATTCCACTCTTGCGACATAGCTCACACTACCTGCCAACAAATTTAATTATTTGGTATCATTCACGCTTCATATGAATATGAGAGGATTCATAACGTTCTTCAACGTTCTAAATTTAATTAAACCCAAAATAGAGAATAAGCGTTTTTTAAGGAAAGGTGATTATGGCAAGAATACGAATTTAAGTTGATTTAATGCCAGTTCTCGCCCACTAACACTTGTGATTAAAAACTTGTGCTTGTAGAGAATTATACGCGGTTATACGAAATTTTAATGTTTATGAGGTGAGAAAGACTCTGAAGTACCTTTTTCCCATTTTAAAGGGCCAACGATTACGTTTATACTTACACTTCAAATCATGATTATATTCTTTATTGAAAATTAGTTCAACTATTTTTTTTTCATTTATTCGTATTTACACAGTTACTCTTTTCTTCGTATATGTGCTTGCCGTTAGAATTTATAAAGGAGGAAGGGGTGTTTTCATACAAGCGTACATACTCATATACAAATAAAGTTTTGTTGATTTTATACCCATGACCGAAGGATGAGGACCATTGAAAAATGGAAAAAACATACGAAATTATTTACAATTCAAAAGAGGTACGGAAAAAATGTACGAAAAACATATGAATTCAAAAGGATGTATGAATTGTAAACAATTTCGTATATTTTTTCCATATCTCCTTTTGAATTCATGTGTTTTTCGTACATTTTTTTCATATCTCCTTTTGAATTCATGTGTTTTTCGTGTGTTTTTTCATACTTCCTTTTGAAATAATGTGAAAGCGTTTGCACGGAATGAAAACGTACCCCGGAGGAAGCTTTAGAGACATCACAACTATATATTTTCGATCAGTAAAAAACTCTGAATCGATTTACGCATGTCCATCTGTCGGTCTGCGTAATGTCTGTTGCAAACATTCTCCTAGACGCAAAAATGAAACTGTCGACCTCAAATGTGGCAGACACATTGGAAGCTTTTGTAGGGCAGGCTAATATTAAAAATAGACGAAATCGGTCGAAGGACGCACCTACAGTGCTACATATAGCGAGTGCATCTGTTTTTCAAAAGAAATAAAAAATTGGTTTTATGCTTATTACTCATAAACTATAGCAGATAAATGTACAAACCTTCATTGTATGTACGTTCTACGCTCACATTCAATATTATAGAGTATTAACACTTTCTTTTTCAATTCCTTTATAATCCACAGAAACAAATCCAAAACTCCATAAAATACGTAATTTCCTGGCCAGATATAAAATCGGTATGCACCCAAGCATGTCCGTTTGTTCGTATGTGTATCTGCCTGTTTGCCAAATTGTTTATTATATGTGGTAAACAATTTGTGGTGGCAGAAATGAAGATACCGGCCAAGAAATTAGCAAGACAATTTGAAAATGATCCAAACCGGTCAGAGGTCTTGCCCACACCTATGAAACATAAATTGTAAACACATTTTCTTTTCTTTTTTTTTTGTTTGTTACTTATAAAATGCAACGGATTTACCATATAAACTTTCACTTTTATTCTGAAAATAGAGAAAGTCAGACGCGAACATACAATATTATAGAGAATGAAGATTGAGTTGTTTCCCTTTTTATTCGTCGGTGATGTGTATCAAAGGTTCGGTCACGACCGATTATAATTGTTTTACTTGTTATTGTTTTGCCGACTTTCTATAAAATTGTGCTACTGTTCGTGAAATTTTATAACTGCTTCTAGTGTTTATTTGTTTTTATTTGAGATACAAAATGTAAATGTGTGTTAATAATTGTAACCACAGCAGTTACATCTCATATATATATATATATATATATATATATATATATTTATTATTATTATATATACATAGATACTACGTTGTAATAAAGAACAAAAGAACAGTTGTGCAATACGTGAAACAGAAGAAGTTACAATGCGGGACCTAATTATTTTTATTTCTGTACAGATATACGGATGAGTGCTTATTAAGATGGGCAGTGTTTTCATATGTTTAAATCGATGAACGGTATTAAAAACTTTAATTTAGCTAGTTTACATTAAAAATTGCTTTAAGTGTCAACGTGGAACAAAGCTGTGTCTCCGCTTGTAATAATAACATGAGATTTAAAGCCAGGTATGGATCTCTGCATACTGAACTAAGCGTAGAAAACAGAGATTCATATATTACGGATCTTCGTAGTGGTTTAAATTACCTTCATGCTGATAGCTACTCTAATTATATTAAGAATTATGATATTTTTTCCAATATGTAATTGTCGGATTCTGAAGTTTTCAGTGCTCTACGTGGACAAAAATTTTTCTTGTTTCCCTGTTTCCATGGTTCGGATGGCGTCTTTTCGAGCGTCCTAATCAGTTGCGCGGAGGTTTTAGTGAAACCGATTAAACATATTTTCAATCTTTTCCTGTCTAGTAGAGCTTTCCCAAATATTTGGTCTGGCAGTAGACAATCAATTGAAAATTATTGAGGCATTGCGAGGCTATCCGCTTTGCTTAAATTGTTGGAAAAACTTATTACAAAGAGATTAGCTACCAATATTAAAGCAACCGTATCAACCGTGGGCTTATGAATGCCAAATCTACTTTTTCTAATCTCTTTGAATTTGTTTACCATGTCTTCGAATCATTCAAAAATGGCATGCAAACAGATGTTATTTATTCTGATCTCAGGAAGTCGTTTGAAGATGTCAGTCATGAGTTACTAGTTTTTAGGTTAAAAAAAATTAGTTTTAGTCGCGGTCTTGCAAATGCTTTCGTTCTTATCTTACGGATCGTACCTAAAGTTTTAATTAAATCGCACCTGTCTGGGCATCTAATAATGAAATCTGTAGTTCCGCAAGAGAGCCATCTAGGCGCGTTGTTCTTTTGTTTATTTGTGAATGTTTTGCCTAATCTAATTCAACATTCGAGATTATTAGTGTATGCTGATGATGTTAAGCTGTTCCTTCCTCACCAAACTTCGAAAGTTTCCGTGTCCTTTTCACTGTGGGAATGGTGTAAGATAAATGCCATATCGTTCAATATACAATGTAAGTCTATGTCGTTCAGCAGGATGTGCACTACCAATTACAATTTTGAGTGTAAGTTAGATGGTGAGCCTTTGGAGTCGGTGTCGTTATTTAGTGATCCCCGTGTAATTTTTGATAGGAAACTGAGATTTAATCTCCGCGTGAAACCGGTTGTATGCAAAGCGAGAACTGCCATTGGTTTTATTAAAAAGCGTTGAAAGGACTTTTATGTCCCTCATGTTACAAAAGGTCTCTAGTTGAGTATGTAGGGCCGGTAGTCGAATATAGGTCTGTCATTTGGTCTCCCAATTACAATTATTATATTGATATCCAAGAATTTCTTTTGTTTGCCCTGACAGGATCATGATGGGAAAATAAAAAAGCATTACTTCCTTATGAACAGTGTTTAATTTTGATCCATGATCCCTTTACCAACTCTTGAACGTAGAAGGTTGGTTCTTGAGATAGGATTTTTTTTTATTCAAGTGGGTATTTCGTCTCCAGTCTTCCTTTGTAGAATTTATTTTAATATTCGTACAAGGGTTTCAAGGAATCTCATTTCTTCTTGGTTGTCGCAGTGTAGGAGTAATTATGAACTCCTTTCTTCCTTCGGTGCTCTTTGTAAACAATTTAACGACTTTCAGTAAATATTTTCGATGGACGATTCAAGCGATTCTCTGAAATCGGACTTGCTTAATTTACGTTATTAAGAAGACTCAACGTACAATTTTTGCAATATATCTACAAATTTTATTACGTAGATTTGTCTCGCTCTTCTTTTTCACATACGGATAAGGAATGAACTGTGCATTTTTATTTATTTATTTATTTATTCCACTTATACTAGAAACTCAACTAAAACAAAATGGCAGTCGAGTTCAATTGACTCTTAAGTAAATCTTAAAATTAATTAATAATAAAAGTTAGTATAAGTACAATAAAACAAATAAGGAGGAAAAAAAGAAAAAAAAAAAAGCATGTACACAACTAGCATAGAGCCATACCCACAACCGGTACAGGACCCAATGGCAAGTGAACCCCTAAGCCATCGCAAACATGCATAAGCTTGGCAACCGATAATTGTTAACAACAAATTAATTTTCGACTCATAATGACATATTTAAGGTTAAGTCAGTTTAAGTACGACGTAGGTAAATCGCGCGTATTAAGCAATGTTGTTTTAATGGACTTTAAAGAGTCCGTTAATGAGAATAAATAATAGACGTCATTTAGGTTCTTGCAAACAACTCTGAGAGGGTTAAACAGTTCAAAATTATATTTGCATTGACTAAGCTTTATCAACATAAAGTGCCTAGAGAAGCGGTTAGGGACATTAAAGCCTATCTCACGAAGTAATGCGGGCGAGTCAATTGCACCATTTATTAATTTGATTAAGAAGGAAATCCCAAGAACAAATCTACGTTTCTCGAGTGACGGTAAGGATAACAGAAGCAACCTATTTTCATAGGGTGAAAGAGTGGAAATCGGGTCCCAACCCAAATTCCTAAGGGCAAACAGCAAGAATTGCTTTTGTATAGATTCAATTGAACCTACGTAGCACCTATATGAAGGAGACCACACAACAGAGGCATACTCAAGTATAGGTCTAACCAAACATGTGTAAAGCCTTTTCGTAATGTAAGGATCATCAAGCTCTTTGGACCACCGCTTTATAAAACCAAGCGCGGACCTAGCTTTGCTTAACGAGGACTCAATATGCAAATTGAAACGTAACCTATAATCGAATAGAACGCCTAAATCTATGAACGAATCGACGTCTTCCAACCTGTGCGAATCAATGAAGTATTGAGTACTGAACGACTTCCTTCTTAAGAAAGAAAGCTTCTTACATTTATTTAGATTTAGTTTCAGAAGATTGAGAGAGCACCATGCAACCAAATTGTTCAAATCACTTTGAAGATGATGTGATTGCGATTCTACGGAAAAAGAATAAAACAGTTTCACATCATCAGCATACATTAAAATCTCACTGAATTTAATCACGGAGGGCAAATCATTGATGTATAAATTAAATAAAATAGGTCCCAAGTGGTTACCTTGAGGTACGCCAGACGTCCCGCGGAATTCATCCGAGGTAATGAGGTTAAACAAAACCCTGAATGATCTACCATGCAGATAAGAGCTTAACCATTCCACTAAGAAGAGAGGAAAGCCAGAGGTCTGGAGTTTAAATCTAAGTAGTTTATGATTAACCATATCAAACGCTTTGCTAAAGTCAGTGTAAATGACATCAGTGCGAGAACCACTAGAAAAAGCCTTGAAAACATGAGAAGTAAACTCTAACAGATTGGTCACCGTAGATCTTCCCTTTCGAAAACCATCCTGGAAAGGAGAAATATACAATTTCATGGAAAAGGCTATATGCTGAGCCACAATTCGCTCGAACAGTTTAGGTAAGACACTCAACTTGGCAATGCCTCTGTAGTTCTCTACAAGTTGCCTACTACCACTTTTGTGAATAGGAATAAGGAAAGAAGTCTTCCAACACAAAGGGGAAACACCTAAATTCAAAGATTTATTAAAAATCTTTGAGATAACATCACAAAGCTCGCCAGCACAAGATATAAGTACACATGAGGGGATTTCATCAGGTCCAGGCGAACAATTATATTTCAGAGAGCTCAATCCTTCAAAAACGTCATTTTCAGCTATAACAAAGTTAGGAATTGAAATCGAATTAGAAATCGGATATGGATAGTTTACCGATAAATCAAAATTGGCAGTTGAAAAGTTCTGTCGGAAGTATTTCGCAAAGAGATTTGAGGTTTCAAAATCATCCGAGGACTCGGAGCCATTAAAAGACACAAACGACGGATTTATAGAGAGTTTCTCTTTTGGAATTAACGAAATTAAAAAAGTATTTAGGGTTAGCAAACAAGGAGGATTTAACAAACTGAAGGTATCTGCAGTAGTATTGGCGGTTGAGGGAATTAAATTTATGCCTTGCAACAGAGTAAGCGAAATAGTCGAAAGAAGAACCACTTTTCGAAAATTTTTTGAAAAGCTTGTTTTTCCTATTTATTTATTTATTTATTTATTCCACTTATACAAGAAACTCAACTAAAACAAAATGGCAGTCGAGTTCAATTGACTCTTAAGTAAATCTTAAAATTATTTAATAATAAAACTTAGTATAAGTACAATAAAACAAATAACGAGGAAAAAAAAAAAGAAAGAAAAAAAAAAAAAAAGCATGTACACAATTAGCATAGAGCCACGCCCACAACCGATACAGGACCAAATTGCAAGTGAACCCCTAAGCCATCGCAAACATGCATAAGCTTGGCAACCGATAATTGTTAACAACAAATTAATTTTCGACTCATAATGACAAAATCTAAGGTTAAATCAGTTTAAGTACGACATAGGTAAATCGCGCTTGTTGAGCAATATTGCTTTAATAGACTTTAAACAGTCCGTTAATGAGTATTTAATTGTTTTATTAAACCACGGGGGACCCTTGCTTCGAGGACGAGACTGCTTGATCAGAACGGATGCAGAAATAGCTTGATTTAATATATTGTAGAACGACGACAGTAAGCTATCAATGCTTCCCCCTGAGAAATCGAGCACAATATGAGAAATATGTGATTTTAGTATGGAAACATTGATTTTATGGAAATCATAAAGTTTATATGAAGAATTTGAATTTTTAACGTTATAGAAGTTCAACGAACCAACA